GGCCGGACGGGGCCGGGCTTTAGCTCGGACATGGCGCTGGACGACGTCTCCTTCTCGCAGTCTGCGCCGTCGGCCACGCCCCCGGCGCTGCCGCCGCATCCTCCGCCGTCCTTGCCGGCATGCCCGCTCGGCGACGTCTGCACCACCGGCTTGTGCTCGATCACCGACGGCGGCTCTTGCGCCACCTCGCCCCAGTTCCCGAACAACTACCCGATCGACGAGGGCTGCACCATCTACAGCGTGCCGCCGGTCGGGCTAGACGTGATTTTCTTTGACGTGGACACCTTCGACCCGGGCGTCTCATCCGCGGCACCGAACTGCCCCTGGGACTATCTCGTCGTGAACGGCGTAAAGTACTGGGGCACCTCGGGCCCGGCCGGGGTCGTGCCGTCGGATGGGACCATAACATGGGTTTCCGACGGGTCGAACCCCGAGGCAGGCTGGAAGGCGCGCGCGCTCCCCTGTCAGCCCTCAGCTTTCGCTTTCACCCAGCCCCGGTGCCCCCAGCCCTTATGCCCCCCCCCCCCCCCCACCCACCGCCGCCGCCGCCTCGCCCTTAAAACAGGTGTGCTGGGCTGCGCAGCCGCCGTACCCTCCGGCCAAGGCGCCGGTCCCGCCGCCGCCGCCGCCGCCGTCCCTTCCGCCGCCGTCCCCGCCGCCGTCGCCGCCGCCGGCGCCGCCGCCCAAGGTGCTGGTCCAGTTCGCCGTCACCAGCGGCTCCAGGTGCGCCGAGAGCCTGCCGTACGGCCCGGAGCCGTCCAATTTCGCGACGTCGACCTCGCCGCTGGTCTGCACCGACTGCGTCACCGACACGACCGACACGTGGGAGCAGGAGTTCTACTGCGACGGCAGCACTGGCCCCGACCTGACGCTCGAGTACAAGTTCGACACGGACCGCACGATCGGCGCCACCCTCGCCGCGGCCAACTTGGGCGGCATCCCCGTCACATGGTCCGCCTCGGGCTCGCTCCTCAGCAGCCCCGTCACCATGAGCGGCACGTGGGTCGGCACCTCGACCACCGTGTACTGGACCGGCTCCGTCGGCGCCTCCGGCTCGGCTCTGTCCTCGGACGACTTCGCGTGGATGGGCGGCAGCGGCGTGATCATCGACGGCGACCAGCAGAACACGGTCCCCGGCTCCACCGGCGTCTGCTCGGGCACGGGCGTCTACGGCCAGTCGAACTGCAACTCGGCCGACAGCAGCTGCAGCACCCTGTACTACGGCTCGTCGTCCAAGTCGTGCTCGAGCATGATCACCCGCGTGTACGCGCGCACCGGTCCCAAGCCGCCGGCGGCGCCTCCCTCCGCCTCGCCGTCGCCGCCGCCTCCCTCCGCCTCGCCGTCGCCGCCGCCTCCCTCCGCCTCGCCGTCGCCGCCGCCGTACCCTCCGGCCAAGGCGCCGGTCCCGCCGCCGTCGCCGCCGCCGGCGCCGCCGCCCAAGGTGCTGGTCCAGTTCGCCGTCACCAGCGGCTCCAGGTGCGCCGAGAGCCTGCCGTACGGCCCGGAGCCGTCCAATTTCGCGACGTCGACCTCGCCGCTGGTCTGCACCGACTGCGTCACCGACACGACCGACACGTGGGAGCAGGAGTTCTACTGCGACGGCAGCACTGGCCCCGACCTGACGCTCGAGTACAAGTTCGACACGGACCGCACGATCGGCGCCACCCTCGCCGCGGCCAACTTGGGCGGCATCCCCGTCACATGGTCCGCCTCGGGCTCGCTCCTCAGCAGCCCCGTCACCATGAGCGGCACGTGGGTCGGCACCTCGACCACCGTGTACTGGACCGGCTCCGTCGGCGCCTCCGGCTCGGCTCTGTCCTCGGACGACTTCGCGTGGATGGGCGGCAGCGGCGTGATCATCGACGGCGACCAGCAGAACACGGTCCCCGGCTCCACCGGCGTCTGCTCGGGCACGGGCGTCTACGGCCAGTCGAACTGCAACTCGGCCGACAGCAGCTGCAGCACCCTGTACTACGGCTCGTCGTCCAAGTCGTGCTCGAGCATGATCACCCGCGTGTACGCGCGCACCGGTCCCAAGCCGCCGGCGGCGCCTCCCTCCGCCTCGCCGTCGCCGCCGCCTCCCTCCGCCTCGCCGTCGCCGCCGCCTCCCTCCGCCTCGCCGTCGCCGCCGCCTCCGTCCGCGTCGCCGTCGCCCCCGCCGCCGTACCCTCCGGCCAAGGCGCCGGTCCCGCCGCCGCCGCCGCCGCCGTCCCTTCCGCCGCCGTCCCCGCCGCCGTCGCCGCCGCCGGCGCCGCCGGCGCCGCCGCCCAAGGTGCTGGTCCAGTTCGCCGTCACCAGCGGCTCCAGGTGCGCCGAGAGCCTGCCGTACGGCCCGGAGCCGTCCAATTTCGCGACGTCGACCTCGCCGCTGGTCTGCACCGACTGCGTCACCGACACGACCGACACGTGGGAGCAGGAGTTCTACTGCGACGGCAGCACTGGCCCCGACCTGACGCTCGAGTACAAGTTCGACACGGACCGCACGATCGGCGCCACCCTCGCCGCGGCCAACTTGGGCGGCATCCCCGTCACATGGTCCGCCTCGGGCTCGCTCCTCAGCAGCCCCGTCACCATGAGCGGCACGTGGGTCGGCACCTCGACCACCGTGTACTGGACCGGCTCCGTCGGCGCCTCCGGCTCGGCTCTGTCCTCGGACGACTTCGCGTGGATGGGCGGCAGCGGCGTGATCATCGACGGCGACCAGCAGAACACGGTCCCCGGCTCCACCGGCGTCTGCTCGGGCACGGGCGTCTACGGCCAGTCGAACTGCAACTCGGGCGACAGCAGCTGCAGCACCCTGTACTACGGCTCGTCGTCCAAGTCGTGCTCGAGCATGATCACCCGCGTGTACGCGCGCACCGGTCCCAAGCCGCCGGCGGCGCCTCCCTCCGCCTCGCCGTCGCCGCCGCCTCCCTCCGCCTCGCCGTCGCCGCCGCCTCCCTCCGCCTCGCCGTCGCCGCCGCCTCCGTCCGCGTCGCCGTCGCCCCCGCCGCCGTACCCTCCGGCCAAGGCGCCGGTCCCGCCGCCGCCGCCGCCGCCGTCCCTTCCGCCGCCGTCCCCGCCGCCGTCGCCGCCGCCGGCGCCGCCGGCGCCGCCGCCCAAGGTGCTGGTCCAGTTCGCCGTCACCAGCGGCTCCAGGTGCGCCGAGAGCCTGCCGTACGGCCCGGAGCCGTCCAATTTCGCGACGTCGACCTCGCCGCTGGTCTGCACCGACTGCGTCACCGACACGACCGACACGTGGGAGCAGGAGTTCTACTGCGACGGCAGCACTGGCCCCGACCTGACGCTCGAGTACAAGTTCGACACGGACCGCACGATCGGCGCCACCCTCGCCGCGGCCAACTTGGGCGGCATCCCCGTCACATGGTCCGCCTCGGGCTCGCTCCTCAGCAGCCCCGTCACCATGAGCGGCACGTGGGTCGGCACCTCGACCACCGTGTACTGGACCGGCTCCGTCGGCGCCTCCGGCTCGGCTCTGTCCTCGGACGACTTCGCGTGGATGGGCGGCAGCGGCGTGATCATCGACGGCGACCAGCAGAACACGGTCCCCGGCTCCACCGGCGTCTGCTCGGGCACGGGCGTCTACGGCCAGTCGAACTGCAACTCGGGCGACAGCAGCTGCAGCACCCTGTACTACGGCTCGTCGTCCAAGTCGTGCTCGAGCATGATCACCCGCGTGTACGCGCGCGCCGGTCCCAAGCCGCCGCCGGCGCCTCCCTCCGCCTCGCCGTCGCCGCCGCCTCCCTCCACCTCGCCGTCGCCACCGCCGCCCTCAGCATCGCCGTCGCCCCCGCCGCCGTCCGTCTCGCCGTCGCCGCCGCCTCCTTTCGCCTCGCCGTCGGCCCCGCCGCCGCCCGCGTCGCCCTCGCCGCCGCCTCCCTCGGCATCGCCGTCGCCGCCGCCGCCGTCCGCGTCCGCGTCGCCGCCGCCACCTCCGCCACCTCCGCCACCGCCGCCGCCGCCGCCCGCGCCTCCGTCGCCGCCACCAGCAGCGCAGCTGCTCGACCTTCGCACGGCCACCACGTACCAGGACTCGAGCTGGTTCTCGCGCGTCTACAACAAGCAGGCGCCCGTGAGCGACCTGTCATACGCCGACAGCACGACGGGACGGCCGTGGGCCGAGTGCGGCCAATACACAAGCCAATGGTGGGGCGTCGACCTCGGGAGCGAGGTGTATGTGCGCTACGTGCGGCTGCAGAACCGCAACGACTGCTGCGCGGAGCGGCTGACGGACGTCGACATCTATCTCGGCTCGACGGCGGAGACGTACACGGGCAACGCGCTGGTGAAGTCGGACGTGAGCGTGTCGTCGAACGTGATGTTGGAGGTGGAGATCAACGCGTTGGGGCACTACATCTACCTCAACCGGCCGTCTGCGGCGGGGCTGACGGTGTGCAAGTTCTACGTCTTCGCAGGAAATCGCAATCGTCCACCTCCTTCCGCGTCGCCGTCGCCACCGCCTCCCTCCGCGTCGCTGTCCCCGCCGCCTCCGTCGGCCTCGCCGTCGCCGCCGCCGCCATCCGCGTCGCCGTCGCCGCCGCCTCCGTCGGCCTCGCCCTCGCCGCCGCCGTCCGCCTCGCCGTCGCCGCCGCCGCCTCTGCCGCCGCCTCCCTCCGCCCTGCCTGCGCCGCCGCCGTCCGCCTCGCCCTCTCCGCCGCCGCCGCCCGCCTCGCCGTCGCCGCCGCCGCCTGACGTGCAGCTGCTCGACCTCCGCGCCGCCACCACGTACCAGGACTCGAGCTTGTTCGACAAGCAGGCGCCCGTGAGCGACCTGTCATACGCCGACAGCACGACGGGACGGCCGTGGGCCGAGTGCGGCCAATACACAAGCCAATGGTGGGGCGTCGACCTCGGGAGCGAGGTGTATGTGCGCTACGTGCGGCTGCAGAACCGCAACGACTGCTGCGCGGAGCGGCTGACGGACGTCGACATCTATCTCGGCTCGACGGCGGAGACGTACACGGGCAACGCGCTGGTGAAGTCGGACGTGAGCGTGTTGTCGAACGTGATGTTGGAGGTGGAGATCAACGCGTTGGGGCGCTACATCTACCTCAACCGGCCGTCTGCGGCGGGGCTGACGGTGTGCAAGTTCTACGTCTTCGCTTCGCCCGCGCCGCCGCCGTCACCATCACCGCCTCCACCGCCGCCGCCTCCCTCCGCCTCGCCCTCGCCGCCGCCTCCCTCGGCATCACCCTCGCCGCCGCCTCCCTCCGCCTCACCATCGCCGCCGCCGCCCTCAGCATCGCCGTCGCCCCCGCCGCCGTCCGTCTCGCCGTCGCCGCCGCCGCCGTCCGCCTCACCCTCGCCGCCGCCGCCCTCAGCATCGCCGTCGCCCCCGCCGCCCTCAGCATCGCCGTCACCCCCGCCGCCATCCGTGTCGCCGTCGCCGCCGCCTCCCTCGGCATCGCCCTCGCCCCCGCCGCCGTCCGCCTCGCCCTCGCCGCCGCCTCCCTCCGCCTCACCATCTCCGCCGCCTCCCTCCGCCTCACCGTCACCACCGCCTCCCTCAGCATCGCCCTCGCCGCCGCCTCTCTCCACCTCGCCGTCGCCACCGCCCGCCTCCGCCTCGCCGTCGCCGCCGCCTCCCTCCACCTCGCCGTCGCCGCCGCCGCCGTCCGCCTCACCCTCGCCCCCGCCGCCCTCAGCATCGCCGTCGCCCCCGCCGCCCTCAGCATCGCCGTCACCCCCGCCGCCATCCGTGTCGCCGTCGCCGCCGCCTCCCTCGGCATCGCCCTCGCCCCCGCCGCCGACCTCGCCACCGCCTCCCACGCTGCCGCCTCCCGCCCCTCCTCCATCCCCGCCTCCACCCACGCCGCCGCCCTCACCGCCGCCCTCACCACCACCACCCTCGCCACCACCGCCCTCACCGCCGACCTCGCCACCGCCTCCCACGCCGCCGCCACCCTCACCGCCACAACCCTCCCCTCCTCCACCCACGCCGCCGTCGCCCTCTCCGCCGCCGGTCTCTCCGCCCCCACCCTCGCCGCCACCGCCGTGCGATCAGATGTGTCACTTTGCAGGAGCGGCCAAGGCGTTGCCCTGCTCGATTTTTGCCGAGTTGCCGTGTTCGGCGCTCGCAGAAAGCGGTTGTTCTCAATGTGCCGGGTGCTGTAGCCTGTCGCAGTGCATGTCGACTCGCAGCGCGTGGCCAGCCGAGTGAGTTCCTCTCGACATGGTAGTTATCGGGATATGGTTCATGATCAAAGTTGTTTAACACCGTCACAAAATCAAAAAAGTGATGCACGTACGTATTGCGGGAGCGCGCGACTGTACGGCTCTAGGTTGATAAGAAAGAACGAAGAAGCTCACATCGCAGACAGCGAGGGTGTGAGAGGCGGACCTAAGGAAGGTCCTACATCTCTTTACTACCCCTGACCGAGCTCCCGCTCGACAGAGTTTGGTACGATTCTAGCAATGCTCTCCGTCCTCGACATTTGATGCCTGCCTTCTCAGGAGTTGTCGGCACGTCGCAAGAGCGCCTCTGGGTCTAGTTCGCCCGCACGAGGCGCCGTCGCGCGTGCCGTGTGCTATCCCGAAGGCCACTGACGTAGCCGAACGGAGTGCTGCACCGGCGGCGACATCGACACCGTGGTTGAGAACCCGCGCATTGCATCACTCAATTCCACTGCAGCGCCTTGCGGTCCTCCCAATACTCGTCGCACTCCTGCCGCACCGCCGCCGAGAGCCGCGCGTGCAACGCGGGATCGAGCGGCGCGATGCGCAGCGCGTCGGCATTCGACCGTAGCTGTTCGACGGTGCTCGCGCCGGAGAGGCACACCGTGACCCACGGGTGCGAGATCACCCACGCCAGCGCCAGCGCGTCGACGCCGGTGCCGAGCGCCGCCGCCTCCTCCCTCAGCAGCGCGAGCTTGTCCGAGTCGGGCGCGCGCTCGGTGAGGCGTCCGTTGGCCAGCGCCTCCTTGACGATGACGCACATGCCCGCCTCGTGCGCCGCCGCGAGCTCCGCAGCGGCAGACTGGTCGAGAAGGTTGAAGGTAGCCTGGTGCGCGGTGAAAGGGCGGATCAGATGCGGCTGAGCGGGCAGCGGTGCAGCGAAGGGTGGAGTGACTCGCTGCGGCGGCACCTGCACCGACCCGAAGAGCGGCCCGCCGCCCCGCGCCACTTCGATCGCGCGGCGGATGGACGGCCTACAGGTCTGCAACGCCTCGTGGCTGGCGCGGGCGATGGCGGGATCGCTCCCTCGCTGCGGCGCGGCGCCGCTGCGGGTGTGACACCGAGACTCCGCAGACCACGCCGCTGTCGCGCAGCGCGGCGAGCGCGTCGAGGACCTCCTCGTTCTCAAGCACGCCCGACGCCTCGGTCGCAGAGTGGATCTGGTAGAGCGCGAGCGAAGGCAGGTTCTCGCGAGACTCGGCGAGCTGCTTCGCGAGCTGCGCCGCCGTGTGGTACTTCACCTCGTGCGCCTCTCCCGCGCCGACTTCGACCCGCCAGTTTGCGGTGTACTCGTAGCCCCACTTGCTGCCCACGACGACGCCGCTCGTCGCTGCGCCCGATTGCGCGAGCCAGGAGGCGACAAACGACTCCGCATCGCCGTAAGAGCGTGCGCAGTCGACGTACCGCAGCCCAAGTCTGACGGCCTCGTCGAGCACATGGTGCGCATTCTCACGCATAAACTCCCGCGTCCGCTCATCGCGGTCGCGCAGATCGGCATCTCGGCCGAGGTTGATGTAGCCTGGGCGCCCGATGGCTGCGGTGCCGAGTCCGAGCTTTGGCAGCGACGGCAGGGTGTTGCGCTCGCGTGGCATGGCGATAACGTGAAGCCCGGCGGCGGCGCACCACATGCACCGATCGCAATGGCCTCGGCCGCGTGCACCGTTCGCAATGGCCTCGGCCGCGTGCACCGTTCGCACAGCCCGCGTGCGTCGCCGCGCACAGCCGAAGTAGCAGGCTTTGTTCTTTTCTTCTTTCTTCCGAGAAACCACAACTTTCGCACAACGGTCAACGGCCTCAAGCACACGTCGTAGCGGTCCGTACCAAACGTTCACGTAACCCAAGAGATGATGACAGCGGACACACAGGAACGGGCAACGCGCTCTGTGAGAGAGGTCGAACATGCTGCGGATGTCTCCAACCCCCGGGACCTCTCACTGAATCCTCACTGCGCGGCGGGGCTCCTCTCCTCCTGCTCCTGCTCGTCTGCCGCCTCCTGCTCGGCCGCCTCCTCCGCCTCGTCGGCCTCGCCATCGTCCTCCGCCTCGGCATCGTCGTCCGCCGCCGCCTCCTCCCCGCCGCCTACAGCCAGCGTGCCCCCGCCATGACTCCTCCTCCTCCTCCTCTCCCTCCGGAGGAGGCGGCCGACCTGCGGCGCCGCTCGTCTTTGCGCGCTTGGCGCGCTGGGCGAGCGTGCGCGCCTTGTCCGCCTCGCGGAATGCGGCGAGGCAGACCTCAAGCTGCTCCACGAGGTCGTCGAATTCGAGCTCCTGCGCCAGCGGGTGAGGCGAGGTCGGGGTTGGCGGCAAACGAGGCGGGCCGCGCTCTCGCCAAGCTGCCGAGCCGGCGGGGGAGGGCGGCCGCTCGCTCGCCTTGAGTGCGTTGAGCACGTCCTGCCCCGTCACCGTCGAGCGCTTCGCCTCCCTGCTGATGTCGCTCGCTCTGCAGGGCAAGCGGGCGGGGCGAGGGCTCACCACGCAAGAGAGCGGAGCGCAATCTGGCTCCGAGTGGCGGCGGATCAGCGCGCGGGGACGCACATGGTGGTGAGCATCAGGATGAAGATTGACGTCGACTTGTTGAACGCGGCGCGCGCGTCCTTGTGCAGCATCACGCCGTCCGGCAGCTTTGACTTGATGAGCCGCTGCACGACGGCGTTCGGCAGCGCCATGTTGGACGGGAGCGGGGCGACGGCGCCGCTCTCGGCCGGGCGCTTGCCAAGCGTCGTCTGCTGGCCCCCGCTGCCCGCCGCCGCCTTGCCGTCCGCCGGCGACGCCTGCTGAGCCTCGGCAGGCATTTAGCAATCGTTTTTTTGCGGGAGTTGCGAACCGGGAAACGAAAAGAATTCTACGGGCGAAATCCGTTTGCGATTCCGTTCACACACCTCTCCTTAAAATCCCTGTGTGGTGGCGGCGTGCCGTCCTCCCATCCCTCCCTTGGGTTGTCTGTTTTCTTTCTTTCTTTACGTTCACGATTCTTAAAAAGAAGAAATTTCTTTCCGCCGAGGAGAAGGCCCGCCGCCTGAACATGGGCTGCAAGGCGCGCGGGCAGCCCGGCCAACCCTTCGACCACAAGAACGGCCACGGCTACGTCAAGGCGCATCGCGGTTTCTACCACGACGCGATCTTTGTCAAGCGCAACCAATTCCAACCTGCTGCTCCACGAGACGTCGGCGGCGGCTTCTCGCCCACCGCCGTTCTCAAGGTCAAGCTGCGCCGCCTCGCGCGCAAGGTCGCGCGCGGCAGCGTTGACCGCACGGCCTACTCGCCCAAGTACTCGCTCTCTTTTATGTCCCACCATGCAGAGCGCATCTCTCTCTCTGTTGTGCGAGGCGTGAACCGCGCCATTCGCTCTCACCTGGCAACCCTGTCTGCACGTCTCGCGCGCGCGTGAACAGGGCGGAGAGAGTGAGTCTCTTGCTTGTGTGCCGTGGAGGGTGCCTGTGTCGCCTAGTTAGTTCCGCCGCACGGATTTCTTTACCCTTCATGTAATTCCCACCAACGCTGTCGTGAGAGTGAGATCGCTTAAAGAAAGAAAGAAAACAGACAAGCAAGCCAAGGAAGGGATGGGAGGGACACACAAACTTCTCACCATGCAGAGCGCATTCTCTCTCTCTGTTGGAGGGCGCCTGGGTCTAAATTTAGTGCGGTGTGAAGTGTTTATCTACTGCATCTTTAGTGCACTTTAGCGCGAATTAGCGCGAATTTAGCGCAAATTTAGCGCAAATTTACCGCGACTTCAGCGCAAATTTAGCGCGAGTTCACTGCGACTTTACATCCAGATTTAGCGAGGTTTAGTGCGTCTTTAGTCCAGCCGCGCACTAGGATCCAGCCGCAGCCCCTCGCTGGGCCTCCCCCCCCCTCTCCCCCTGCAGTCCCCTGCCCACTCGCAAAAACTTTCCCGTCCGGCCCATTCCCAACCGAACGAAGGGGTTTCAGCTGAATATCAGCCTCCGGGCCCGCCGAGCGGCAAAACAGTTTGCCGGCAGCGCGGGGCGTGAAGTCTGAAGATGGTCACGGGCACAGCATGGGTTGTGCGGTCGGAGGTGCTGCTTGCGGTGGCGCATTCAACTGTGCTGGTCCTCCTCTCGCGGGAATCGGTGCTGTGCCTGTGCTCAGTCGGGGGAGATCTTGCTCTGGAGGGCTGCATATCTGGCCTCACTGGGAGCCTGCCTTTGGGTCATGAGGGCAGGGGCCAGGCATCTCCTGTGGTGCATTCTTGGCAGCCAAAGGAGCAATCGAGCAAAGCACGCGGCCCTGGCTAGCTGTGGCCTGTGGGCTGTGGTGTGGCTGGCCGGGAAGCCGTCGGCTAAAGAATGCGTGCCCGCACTAAAGATGCGGGACCCACACTAAATGTACTGCAGCTGCCCGCACCTAAAGTGAACTAAATGTGGCGCTAAATTGGAGATAAAACACACTAAATATGTGCTAAATACGTGCTAAATGTGTGCTAAATATGTGCGAAATTTGCTCTAAATTTGCGCTAAAGTCGCGCTATATTCGCACTCGAACACACACTAAATAGCGCACTAAACTATCACTAAAGGTAATTCACATGCACTAAATTTAGACTCACAGGAGATGTTTTTGCTCTGTTGTGCGAGGCGTGAACCGCGCCATTCGCTCTCACCCTGTCCATTGTGACCCCGGACACTCGCACACTAGGATCGCGATCGCAGCAAACGCGTCCCGGCAATGTCGGACCCGCCTCGCGCGTCATCCTCGTCCAAGAGGCGACGAGCCGGCTCGCTGGATGCCTATTCGCTGGGCGCTCTGCTCGGCGAGGGCGCCTTTGGCAGCGTCCGCTCCGGCACAGACTCGAGCGGCACTCGAGTGGCCGTGAAGCAGCTGAACAAGGCCCGCACCGCCTCGGACGTCTTTGAGAGGGAGGCGCGGATGCTGCGCGGCGCGGGCACGCACCAGCACGTCACCTGCCTCATCGACTCGTTCGAGTCGCCCGCGCAGTGGGTGATCGTCATGGAGCTCGCCGGCGGAGGCGAGGTCTTCGAGCGGATCGTGCAGCGAGGGCCTCTGTCCGAGAGGGACGCCGCGCTGGTGGTGCGGCACGTCGCGCGCGCTCTCGCCCACCTCGCCGCGCGCGACATTGTGCACCGCGACCTCAAGCCGGAGAACCTGCTCTTTGTGAGCGAGGCCGAGGGCGCCGACGTCAAGCTCACCGACTTTGGGCTCGCCGCCTTTTGCGCGGCGTCGCCGCGGGCGGCGGAGGCGGGCGGCGAGGAGCGCCCGGCGACGGTGAGCGGGCTGGCGGGCACCGAGCCCTACATGGCGCCCGAGATGGTCCGGCTCGACGCGTACTCGCACTGCGTGGACGTCTGGTCGCTCGGCGTCTGCCTCTTCACGCTGCTGTCGGGCTACCTCCCCTTCGACCCGCACGGCACGGCGCCGCCGCGGCTGGTGCAGCGCAACATCTTGCGCGGCGAGCCCGACTGGTCCGCCTACCCGCAGCAGTGGGAGCCCGTCTCGCAAGAGGCGCGCGCGCTCATCGGGCGCATGCTCGCGCTGCGGCCCGAGGACCGCGCCACGCCGGCGCAGCTGCTCGCCACGCCGTGGGTGGCCGGCGCCGCCGCCGCGGCCTCCCTGCCCGGCTCCGACGCGCAGCTCAAGTCCTTCAACGCAGCGCGGCGCGTGTGGCGGACCGCCGCCAACGCGGTCGCGCTGGTGATCCGCGCGCCGCACACCGCCGCCGCCGCCGCCCTCGCCGCGGGGTCGGCGGCGGCTGAGGCGCAGCAGCCGGCGGCGGCGGCGGCGGCGCTGCCCAAGGCTGCGCGGGAGGAGCTCAAGGCGGCCTTCGCCGCCTTTGACCGCGACGGCGACGGCGCCATCGACCTCGCCGAGCTGCGAGATGCGCTCTCCTCGCTCGGCGCGTCGGAGGGCGACGCCGAGGCGACGCTCGCTCGGCGCGGACGGCGGTGCGGCGCCTCCGCGACACGTCCGCGACACGTCCGCGTCGCGTTCCGCAGGCGACGCTCGCGTCGCTCGACACGGACGGCTCGGGAGGGATCGACTTCGACGAATTCTGTGCCGCCGCCTCGCCGCTCTACGCCTCCTCCGCCGTCGCCCTCCGCGCGGCCTTCGATTTCTTCGACGCCGACGGCTCGGGCGACATTGACCGGCAGGAGCTTCGGACCATCCTCGACCGGCTCGGCGGCAGCACCCGCAAGAACCACGACCGCAGCGAGACCGAGCGCGCGGTCGACCAAGTCTTCGCGGCGGCGGACGCCGACGCCGACGGCCGCGTCTCCTTCCCCGAGTTCATCTCCATCTTCACGGAGGTATTCGCGCCGTCCGCAAAGTGATGCGCCGGCCGCCGCCTCCCTCAGCACACCCGGCGCACGCATGCCCCCCCCCCGGCCGGCCGACGCCAGGGACACACACGACAGGCTCGGGCGGTTGCCCACTGCTCTGCCCCTGCGGCTCAGGCCTGCGCTTGCCTCGCCAGCCCGCCTCTCGCGCCCACACCTCCCGCCGAGACCGGGGTCTGCTCCTCCTCCCCCCTCGCTGTGCACCTTGCGCCTGGCACCTTCAGCGGCTCGCTCACTTCAGATATGCTTCCGTTCTCGTGTTTCCAATTTGGTCTGAAGCTCCACCCATTGAGGAAGTGAGGTACTGCTCCGTCCACGGACCACGCCTGATCATGCCCGCCAAAAGAAAGCCAATTACGGACTTGGGCCCTGCGGCCTTCTCTCGAGGTCTCGAATAGTATACACAAATACACAAAGTGGCCAAATTCGAAGAATTTTTCTTGTCTCAAGAAAATTGCAAGAAACGTGGCAGGCGGTCAAAAGCGCGTGAATCTCGCCTGATGACATCGGCGCCGTGTGGTCTCTCCGTGTATGTGTGTATAGAGCTCTACACATATGGCGCTTCTCCCCTCCGTTTGTGCTGCCCTCGCGCTGCACCTCGCGCGATTTGCGCCTCGCGTTCCTGCCGCCCGGTCGACTCAGCCGGTAATGGATTACTGGACGGACCGCGCGTCCAAGAGCGCTGGCGACCTTCTCCGCGAGGAGGCGGCCGGCTTGAGCGTGGCGGTGTGTGCGCTCCTCGCCTATTCCTTTGCACACGCAACGACCAGGCCGCCCGCCTCCCACCGTCCCGCAGGCTGAGAGCGGCGAGCGGGGGCCGGCCGAGCTGGGCGGGATGCCGTGGCAAGCGCCTGACACGTCGGCAGTCGAGGCGGAGCTCGAGGCGTGGCGCGCAGAGGCGAGCCAGACGGGTGCGAGGGAGGCGGCTGCGAGCGCGAGCTATCTCGAGGCGCGGGGGCCGTCCACTCCCGCCAGTCCCGTGTCGTGGCCGCTCAGATCTGGCCCTGCTACAGCTGCCTCCTCCTCGGTAGGCGAGGGACGGCTTCGTCGGCGCCATCCCGTCGTCGGAGCTGCTCGCTCGCGACGAGGCGGAGGGGCTGTGGCCGCTGGAACTCGACTCGGACCCGGAGGCGGAGAGTATGATCTGGGTCGATGAGATCAGCTGCATCGGCTGCAAGTTTTGCGCCACGGTCGCGCGCAGCACGTTCAGCATGGCGCGCGGGACGGTAGTGCCGTGGAGATACGGAGCTCACACACGCCCAGTCCCGCGATTGCACGGGGGCCCCGAAAGCTGAAGTTTGCGCGCGAGGCGCGTCCCCTCCCCCTCCAGGCCTCCGACGCCACGGACGAGGGCACCGCCCGGGCCGTGCAGCAGGGCGGCGACCACCCCGAGGTTGTGGAGGAGGCGATCTCGTCGTGCCCGGCGGACTGCATCCACAGGTGCTCGCGCGCCGAGCTGGAGGTGCTCGAGGAGCACCGCGACCTCTACCTCGCGGACATGCTCTCCCAGTTCCACGGCTGCGCCTCCTTCAGCGGCGGCGCGGGCGGCTCGCAGGCGGCGCCGCACTGGCGCGACCCGCTCGTGCACACGTCGTGGATGCACGGGCCGGAGTACGTCAAGAGCTCGCGGCTGCGCATGGCGGACCCGCTCGTGCGCGACCGCCCGGCGGGAGAGGAGCCGCCGCCCGCACAGGAGGCCTAGTGAGCGCGGCCACAACGACCGGGCGGTCTTTGCTCTTTCCGAAAACCGCGGCCCTTGCGGCCTGTCCGCACCGGGCAGCCTTCCGTCGGCTTTCTCTGTAATAGTGGAGCCTAAAGAAAGAAAGACAACCACGGCGTCAAACGTGAAACGAGGGAGCGGGAGAGTGACTCCCTCGGCAGCTCTGAGCACGAGCTCCCGCAGCTCCCTCCACCACACCGGTCACCGCAGAGACGGGGAGATCTGGAGAGCTAACGTAGAAGAGCTAACGTCTAAGGACAAAGGAAGTCCCCGAGGATCGAAGGATGCCAGCTCCAAGTTTCACTTTTCACAACCGTTTGCGCTCTCTTCACATAAACGCACAGCCCCGGGCCGCTCTCTTCACTCCGTGCACTGACGGTCGGCCGCCAGAAAACACGCCTGCGTGGATCGCGTCACACCAATCCTCGCTACCCAACGCGGCCAAAGGATATCCACCTTGAGAACCTCGACAAGGCTATGTATGTATGTAGGAGGCTCTCTTCACACCAGGCCCCCCCAACCTCGAGTGTCGAGAGAGCCTGCCAGAGCGGGCCGCCTCGACGCAGTCCGCGCTTACGGCCCCCCGACACCCCCTTCCCTTCGGACAGCTCTTCGGACAGCTCTTCGGACAGTTCGAGTAACGGGAGAGTTCCAACAGGTCGCCTGTTTGACGGACTGGCGCGCCGCATGCAGGCTGCCCGGCCACAAGCGCAGACGCTCGCGCCGCGAGGGTTCTGCACCGAGGCGATTCGGCCACTCATCCCGCAGCTCCAGCGCGACCTGCATCGGTTTCGCTCCATCACGCCTCAGCTCCTCGACGAGGCACGAGGCTTGCTGCCAGACGGCCCCGTCCGCGCTGCGCTTGCCATTGTCAACCGCACCGTCTGGTGGCTTCGCCCGACGGGCCGGCCGCGCTCGCCGATGCTCATATCGCTTGTGCACGACCTCCAGGAGCTGGCAGACGCGCACGAGCTTCCCGACCTCGAGCTCGTGGTCAACGTGGACGATTACCCGTTTGTGCCGCGCCCTGCGCCGTCGCCGGTGCGCTCGCCGCCTCCGCTCTTCTCCTTTTACCAGACGGCTCGGCACGCGGACCTGCTCTGCCCGAGCAGCTCCTTCCGCGAGGCATCGTTCGAGCGCGTGGCCGCCGTGTACGAGCGCCGCGCTCGGTCGACGCCGTGGGAGGCGCGCCGGCAGGTCGGCTTCTGGCAGGGCCACCCGTACTGCGGTAAGCACAAGTTTGGCCGCTGCTCCCGCTACCTGCTCTCCCACCTCTCGGCCCAGAGCGCGTCTCCGCTGCTCGACGTGGGGCTGACGTGGTACGAGCCTCGCCTCGACCTGTACCTCCGGCAGGAAGCGTCCGCCTCGGCAGCTCGTGGCGTGCCGTGCTCTGCCTCCGACCCTGCCCGCCGCCCGTGGCTGCAGGAGGAGTGCCGCTGCGCAGCCGGCTGGGCTCACCCCGGGGACCTGCCCCGCCGAGCCGCTCCGCTCGCGGTGCGACCCTGGGTGCAGATCGAGGACCACACGCGGTGGGCCCCGCCCGCCGGAGCCGTGGCCACGGACGGAGTACTACTACTAGAGCCTCGACCGTCGCGCCCTCTGCAGGTACCGCTACTTGCTCCAGCTCGACGGCCACACCGCCTCGTGGCGCTTCCAGTTCCTGCTCGCCAGCCACAGCCTCGTCCTCAAGCAGTGGTCCTACTACAGAGAGTACTACTACGCGGGGCTCGAGCCCGGAGTCCACTACCTCCCCTTCTGGACGCGCTCGGCCGCCGACGTCCTCGAGGTCCTCGAGAATGCGACGCGCGAGGATGCCTCCGTGCGCGAGCTCCCCGTCGCCGCCAGTCGCTTCACCCGAGACCACCTCAACCCGTACGCGAGGCAGTGCTACTGGCGGGCGCTCCTCGGCGCGTATGCCGAGCGCCTGGCCGAGCCGGGGGTGCGGCTCTCCCGCTGGCCTGCCGCCGCGCAGGTGCGGAAGGACGGCTCGTCCGAGGGGTGGTACCCTCGCGCGGACCGGCGGGGCGGCACCCTGCTCGACTGGGCGCGCGCCGAGGCGGCGTGGCGCAGCGCTGACGACGCGGTGATGCGCCGGGTCGTGCGCAGCCTTCGACGTCCAGCCGTGGCCTCAGAGCGGGTCGAACCAGCGACCGTTGGCCTGGCGAGGCGTGATGGCAAAGGGTCGAAGCGGCCGCGTCGGCCCCGCCGTTTGGCCAGCGCCAGCAACGTGCATTTACTGCGGGTGTGATTTGCTCAGGATATTTGCTGGTGGCGTGTAATTTTACGCATCTCGACGGTTTCGATACCATCGGGTGTGCATCGCATGGCCATGGGCGATACCCCCCCCTCTCGTGAGCGATGAAGGACAAGGAGAGTTCCAGTGTAAGTGTGTTTGAAAGTGCCACCCGCGCACCCCCACTCACCAGGCCGGCAAGTCTGCCCAGTTTGCCCACGGCCCCCACCCGCGGGCCGACCGTTTAAAGTAGTCGCGGACGGCAGCGCACGCCTCCTCCCGGTCTGGCGGGGTCTGGATGTCGCCGCGCAGCCTCTTGCGCAGCGTCCAGAAGAGGGACTCAAACGCGTCGTACTTTAGCAGCCGGTCCTGCTCGGGCAGTGGCGTGGCGGTGCCGTCGTGCCGCAGCCAGAGGAGACGCGGCCAGAGGCAGCGCAGCTCGGCTCGCATCGCGGCCACCCTGGCCGCGGGCACAGCGCGCAGCAGCGGCTCGAGCGTCGCGATCTGGCGCAGCGAGTCGTTCATTCGGAGAGCGAAGCTCGAGTAGGGGAGCAGCTCCTCGTACGCGCTCTCCACGCCGTCCATCATGATGAGGGGCACGCACCCCGCCGCCGCAGACTCGTACACGCGCGTCGAGAAGCCAAAGCCGGCGGCGGCGACGCAAAACTTCGAGGCGGACATCAGCTCGAAGTAGCGCTCTCGGTTGGCCTCGTGCCCCTCGCGCACCTGCGCGCAGGGCGCGGCCCCCGTTGAGGGGGGGGGGCGGAGGAGCCGCTGCCGCGTGGCCTCCGCGCACCAGGATGGCGCCCGAGGTGCGGTGAGCCTTGTACAGCCCCTGCCGGATGCCGAAGGAGTACTCGTACCTGTCCACAGACGCGACACGGCCGTCAGCAGCGGGCGCCGAGCCGGGCCACCGCCCGCTCGGCGCTCGCACGGGATGTGCAGGTTCAGCTTGCCTGTGGCCAGGGGGGGGGGGGGGCTTGCCAGGTTGGGAGTGGCGAGGCCCCCCCCCCCTCTCCCGGAAGGGGGGGGAGGGGCGAAAGGGAGGGGAAACCGGGGAGGGAAGGGAGGGGCGGAAGGGAAAGGAGGGGCGGAAGGGAAGGGAGGGGCGGCAGGGAAGGGAGGGGCGGCAGGGAAGGGAGGGGCGGCAGGGAAGGGAGGGGCGGCAGGGAAGGGAGGGGCGGAAGGGAAGGGAGGGGCGGCAGGGGAGGGAGGGGCGGCGGGACTCGCGGGAGGCGGGACGGGCTCTCGCCCAACACTCTCGGGTAATCTCGGCCGATCTCGGGGAATCTCGGCCGATCTCGGGGAGTGTCTCGCCCTGGAAGAAGGCGAGCGGCGGGTTGGCGATCCGCTGCCTGCCGTGGTGGTTGAGGAGCCCGGCCGGCACGCCCGAGTAGAGGACGGGCGGGCAGACGATGTCGTGGCCGTGCCGGTGGCCGCCGCGCTGCGCCTCGGCGGCTCCAAACACGTTGATGAAGATCGAAGCCTCGAGCTCCGGCAGCTTCGCGCGGATGCGCCACGCGCCCTGGTGGCAAGGATTACCCGAGATTACCCGAGACCACGCGCCCTGGTGGCAAGGATTACCCGAGATTACCCGAGATTACCCGAGATCACGCGCCCTGATGGCAAAGCACCCAAGGCTGCGACGGGTGATAATCAACTGATGGTTTGAGTCCTCAAGATCCGCCTGGTCGTGGCCAAACACCCACAAGTGGTCTGCGCCGCCCTTGCGGCTCCAGAACGGGCCGCTCTCCTTGATGTACTGCAGCGCCGCCTGCGGTCAAGAGCGCCGGTCGAGACCGCTTCGGCGCGCGGGCGGGCGGGCGGGGGGGGGGCGGGGGGGGGGGAGGGGTTCCCCCCCAAGGGCGCGCCTCGTGCACTCGCACGCCGGTCGGCAGGAGGTCGCGGAAGCCCCAGTTGAGCTGCCACATGCCGGAGGAGACGTGCACCTGTGTAATCTCGGGTAATCTCGGGTAATCTTCCACATGCCGGAGGAGGCGTGCACCTGGGTGGCGGGCTGGCTCTGCGCTCTCTCGGCTGCCCCTCTCGGCTGCGCCTCTCGGCCACCTCTCGGCTACGCCTCGCCGGCACGAGGAAGTAGTCTGCCTGCTCCGGGTCGAGCACGCGGTAGGCGGAGCGGAGGGCGCGGCGGTGGATGACTACGTCCTCGCCCCACAGGTCCATGTCCTGCCACCACCCGTGGCTGCCCGCCTGCAGCCAGCTGCCGAAGCGGCCCGGCAGCTCGTACACGTACAGCCTAGGCGCGCCCGCCGCCCACTTGCCGTCCTGCGCGCCGATGGGAGGAGGCAGCGGCGGCGGCGGAGAGGCGCCCTTGGGCGCCGCCCCGAGCGAGCAGTCGATGCCGTAGAAGCCTACTCGCGGTCAGGGTTAGGGTCAGGGCGCGGGTGAGGGTTAGGGCGCGGGTGAGGGTTAGGGTGAGGGTGCGGGTTAGGGTCAGGGTGAGGGTTAGCTGGCTCAGCAGGCGTCATCTGTAGCAGGTGCGCCTGGCTCGCAGCGGCACCAGTTGCGGAAGCACTCTCCGCGGCCCGAGCAGCCGTTGAGGCAGAAGTGGCGCGGCACGACGGCCGTCGACCGCTCGCACGCGTCGCCGTCGTAGCCCGGGTAGCAGAGGCAGCGGCAGCTCCCCTTTTTCTCGCACTTGCCCGCCGGCACACCCTTGGCCGGCATGCCGCCCGCCGGCGCCCAGACGCCGTGGCCGCTGCAGCGCTCCTTGGACTGGCCGGCGAGCGGGGCGAGCGTCGCGGCAAAGTACTCGGAGTTGGCCTCCAGCCCCCGTTGGTTGCGCTGCTGCTGGACCTGCAGCAGGGAGGGCCTCCCTCGCTCAACACGGGCCGCCCTCTCTCCGCCCCTCCCCTCTCCTCTCGCGCCCGCCGGCGCACCCAGCGCATCAGCGACTCGGGTAATCTCGGGTAATCTCGGGTAATCTCGGGTAATCTCGCACCCAGCGCATCAGCGACTCGTTGGCCGCGTTCATGACGTAGCAGGCGCGGTTGCCCATCACGCCGAGCGACTCGCACGCGCGAAGGCATTCGCACGAGACGGGTGCGCGAGACCGCCCGTCGATCAGGCACGGCGACGCGACCGGGGCCGCCGCCGTCTGGACCATGCCGACCAGCGCAGCGCACTCGGAAAGGAGCGGCGACCCGCAGCTCGCCCCACCCATGAAGGGCGGGCATGCGCACTCCCCAAGCCCGGGGTTGCACACGCCGCCATTCTTGACGCAGTCGGCCGGGCACGGCTTGGGCGCCGGCTTTGACGCGGCTGCGGTCCTTTGGTTGCGCATCGCGTTGGCGACGATGTTGACCGGCAGCACGGCATGTGCAAGCAGCTCCGCCGGATTGTTGATGTCAAAGCCATCGACAGGCTTCGGAGCACCACCACCGTGCGGCCAGCGCCCGCCCATGCCGCTGCCGACAGGACTGCTGATGCTAACTATCCTGGGCGCCTGCTCGGAGCGGCCCGTGATGTAGAGCGCGAGGGCGCACAGCGCGAGGAGGCCGCCGCCGAGGAGGCGGCTCATAAGCAGCCCCAGGCCTGCGCGTCCGACCGCTACTGCGCCTGCGCTACTGCGCTGGAGTACCTCGCCGCGCCGACGACAGCGGTGGAATTGAAGAATTTTAAAGCGGCGTGGGGACTGGCGCGCACTGGCACTAACACAGGTACACCACGGGAGCCAATTGAAGAAAAGGGAGCGTATACGAAACAAGAACACAACGCACTCTCTCACATGACAAGCGATCCAGAAAGAAAAGGCAAGGCTGTTCAGCACTACTTTCTCCCACTTTCTCCGGGGTGCCACACGGTGCACACCACAGGCGCATTCTAGAGGGGGAAAAGAAACGGGGAATGAGGGGCCCCGCCACGAGAAGTGCGTTCTGGGGATGCAGAGCGTGCAAGGCGGCTAGGGATGCGGCCGCAAAAGAGGCGCGTGGGGCAATGGGGGCGCGTGGGGAAATGGGGGCGATAGCCCAATGTGAGGAGGAGAATCGGAGAACTGAGAGACTGGGACGACTGGACACAAGAAGACAGTGATGAAGACCACCGCCTCTAGCTTCGATCTATAGTAAGCAATCGCCTCCAGGAGCCCGCCTCTCTCCCAGTCCCTCAGGCCTTCTGGTATCCCTTTGCGGTGCGCATTCTCAATCTGCTGCAGCGCGGGTTTGCAGTCGCATAGCACTAAGCACCTCCGCGATTGCGCATCGCTCGCGCTCGCCATTTTGCGTAAGTATGCGAGTATCGCGTACATCTCCGCGTCTATCGGCTCCCACATGTTCGGCAGCTTTCCTCCCCACATTCCCGCCCCAAACGCTGTCCGTATCTCCCCTTCTTCACAGGGTCCGATTCCGTTGGGATCCTTTACCACAGTGCGTCTCCCGGGACGCTCTTTCCGAATCGTGTCGGTCCTTCGAACACGCCGTACGCCACCCTAGGGTTCGGCACGTACTTTCCATCCTCCCGCCATTTTGTCTTCATGGTCCTTTCCTCCGTCCGTCGCCGCAAAGTGTGTGAACTGGTGTGAGACGTGCAGCGCGAGGCATGTCTGCGCTACTTTCACGTTCAGGGCTCGTCCCTTCCCCGACCGCAGCGGCTCGCTCTCTTTTCCCATCTTAATTCGCTTTCCTTTGCCGTCCGTCAGCTCTCCCCCCGTCTCAAATTCGTGTCGTATCGGAGCAAGAAGCGCGTTAGGGGGTCCTCCTGTAGCTCCCCTACTCTGATCGCGCTCGCCCCGTATCCGTGCCCCACAAACAGCTCGTAGTCTTCTTTCTGCCAGTTTATGTGTCTCTGGGGCGCCCCCTCTGGGAACAACGTCTCATCCGCCCCGAGGCTCCCCTCCTGTCGCTCCCTCTTCTGTCTCTCCATCATCTTTCTCACCGCGTCCTTCGTGATCTTATTTTGCTCCATTGCTCGGGTATCTCCTCCTCCCATGTCGCGTTCGTATCGAGGCCCGGGGTCCCCTCTAGCTTTATCACTCGCTGGTCCCCTTCCTCTCTCGACCCCAGGTGCGTGCCGCTGTCTTGCGCCGGTTTCTTCCCTCCGAGGTAGAGCGTCCTGGCCTTCCCCTCCACTCGGATGTCCGTCCTGGTTCGCCCTTCTTCGAACGTGTGTTCTGTCATGTTGGAGCGGCCGCACATTGCTCGGTACCCCCCCTGCACTTTTAAGCCCGTCCCTGCTGCTAGGGGGGGGGGGGGTCTGACCCCCCCAGCAGCAGAGCGCTGCTGCCGGGGGGGGGGGTCGCGACCCCCCCAGCAGCAGAGCGCTGCTGCTGGGGGGGGTCCCGACCCCCCCAGCAGCAGAGAGCGCACTGGACCCAGCTCCCGCCTCCCGCCCCCTCGGCTCGTGTTTGAGCGGTACGCTCGAGGCGGTTGTGTTCACCGCGCCTTCGAGCCCAATCCACCTTCGTCGTGTCGAGTGCTGGCGTTTTACTAAACACTTGTGACCATGTGAGTCTATCTTGTACTACCACACATAGGCGCGTATAGTGAGCCACTCACTCGGGCGTCTCGCTGACGTTGATCGATCAGCGCTGATCTCCCTAGCCTATCGCCCACCCGCTCGATCCTCGGTTCGCTCGCTTGTCGCAAATCGATCGACTGAGCTGTCATCCAGGCGGCCTTTTCTTTTTTCGAAAACGCGCGCGCGCCCGTCGCGGCAAAACTGTCAGGTCCGCCGCAACGCGTCGCCGCAATGGCGGGCAGAGGCGCCGCGAGGCACGAGAGGCGTAGAAGAGAGGCTGGCGTGCCCCGCACCGCCCGGTTGGCAGTAGGAGGCCCCGCCGGTGAGACCACTGATTTTGAGAGAGAGATTTTTAGCAATACCAAACAACTCTAACACTCACACGTCATTTGGGGCCTTGCCGACCATAAATTCTCGCAACTCGAACGCATGCTACTTACAGCTGCTGTCTGTACAGAGATGCCAGCACCCCCCACAGGCAGAGCGCTGCTGCTGGGGGGGTCCCGACCCCCCCAGCAGCAGAGCGCTGCTGCTGGGGGGGTACCGAGCAGTGTGCGGCCGCTCTTGGGTCCGCTCGTGCACACCCCGTTTACCTCCCTGCTGTATTCAATGAATCGATCGAGCACGTCGCTCCACGCACGACGGAGCATTACTCTTTCCGTCGCACGTCTCTAGTGCTCTGTCCGCCTGCGCTGCCTCCGGCCCCGAACTACCTAGTCTTCTGCGGTGTTCTAGCCACTCTCGGAAGGACGCCGCTTGCCGTCTCACGCCTTGCGCGTGCATTAGCTCCCGCTCCCATGTGATAGCGAGATCACCGACAAATCCTACGCTCTCCATCTTATCGTGCCACACGAAGAAAGAAAGAAAGAAAACGGACAACCCTAGGGAGAGTTGAACAAAAACGCGTACTATTTCTTTTCGTTGCCCCTACCTGGGCAGCGAGCTTGCAGCGAAGAAGGCTCAGGCCAAGCTGAGTGAGGGGCGCAGCCATGGCCAACCTGCGCGTCGCCTTGCTCTTGCTAGTCGGCCTCTCCTGCGTCGCCGGCCTGCTGCCGGGCGCCGCCCCGGCGCGAGGCGCCGCCGCGGGGCAGCAGCGCGCCGGCTCGGTCACCATGGCGGGCGCCGCGGCGCTCGCCAAGAAGACCACGGTGCTCGAGGGTGTCAAGGAGAACATGGACGGCTCGGCGCTGATGTTTTGCGTGCGCTCCGAGGGCCTGCGGGTGAACGAGCTCAACGACCTGCGCATGAAGCTACCGGAGGGCGTCCGCCTCCAGTGCGTGAAGAACACGCTCGTCAACATCGCCGCAAAGGACTTTGAGCAGTTCAACGCCGAGGGCCTCGACGGCCTGCTGCACTACTCCAACTATTGGTTCTTCGCGACCGAGGCGGGCATGCGGGACTCGATCAAGGTGTGGAAGACCTTCACCGAGGAGTCCGGGAGGAAGGCGCGATCTCCTCCGCGCCCCGCCCCCCTCCCCCACCCCTCTCCGCCAGCGGCCGCCGCCCCGCGCGCCCCCCCTTCCCCCATCTCAGCCGGCGGCCTCCACCCCCCTCCCAAGCCGCGCCGCCCCCGACCCCGCCCTCTGCCTCCCGCGTGCAGGAGAGCGGCGAGATCGTCGGCGGCATCTTTGACGCGCAGGTCCTTGACGGCAAGGGCGTGGAGGCGGTGAGCAAGCTTCCCACGAAGCAGGAGCTCATGGGCAAGACTGCGCTGCTGCTTAAGGCCCTGCCGACCAAGCTGGCGCGCTCGCTCAACGAGGCGGGCGCGGTCCGGATCGCGCGCGGGCTGGAGCAGGCGCGCGGCCAGAAAATGGTGCGTGCGGTCAAGGCCGCCTCCGAGAAGCTCCCGTGAGGCCCGTCGCTCGTTTGAAGGTCGGCGGTCGTGAGAGCGCAGAGGTTGCCGAGAGAGGCGCCGCGCTCTGGTGGAGCCGGCGGGGCGCAGCGGTGCGCAGGCTGGGGCGGTGCGTGTGTGTGCGAGCCGCCTTTCGTGTTTCGGGGTGTATACGCCTTGCGCACCTTGCCAAAAACCGCGGGGTTGACGTCACACAGCGCCTGCAATGATGATTTAAACAGCATTCACTGAATCAGCCCGGCTCGTAGTCCGCGCCCCTGTAGCCGTCCTGTGTGCGTGTGCGCGCCGCGGGCACAGCCACAGGCCAAACCCACGCAGTGAAACCACCCCGGGGCCAACCGTCTTCGGTTTCGTCGTCCATAGTGCACTATAACCCACGAAACCCGAATAAAAAAACGTGCGCCCCTTCGAGTGTATCTCTTGAGTGTTGCTCTGGAGCGTCCGGTTCAACACGCGCTCGCGAGCTCGCGTCTGCTGGCGCCCAGAGAACGTGTTGCACCTCGCGCTCCCGGCGGAGCCCAACTGCTCGCACTCGACAAGGCAGTCCATCCACTCGCGGCAGCTGAAGTCGAACTTCCACTCAATGCGGCTCGCGCCGGGTTGTGAGCTCGGCGAGCGAGGTCGGAGAGCGACCTCCAGTTGGCCCAAGCCGCACGCCACTGAGGCAGAGCGGCCGTGCGCGTACGACGCCGTACGCGCACGGCCACTCTGCACCGACCGCAGCGCTGCAATTGCGACCGCAGTGGCTCAGCTCAGCCAGGGCTCGCTCGCCCGAGCTCGGAGCCGCCGGCGGTCATGGGCAGCAAGAAAGGTTTGACGCGTCGCTCGGTGCAGGAGGGCACTGCAGTGGAGGTGCAGCGGCCGTCCGGCGCGTGCGCGATGGGCTGCAGCTTCATTGGCAGCTACCAGAGCGCGTCTGGAGCGCTGCCATTGTGTGACCCACGTCCAAGCGGCGCTTCCGGCCTGTTCCGCGCCTCTTTTTACGCTTTTCATTGGTTTGGGGGGGACGAGGTCTCATCAACTTCGAAACCGCCTTTGAAAGGGGGCAAATGCGTCCGTCCCTGAGACGGTTGGGAAGGGGGTGGTTTCACTGCGCACAGCGCCAGCGGGGTGCCGCAGCGCGCAGGGCGAGACCGAGCGAGCGGCGGCGCCGGCGGGGCGGGGCCGACCGGGCGTGCGCGTGCGGGTCCAAGACCGGCCACGCGGCCACCCCGCCGCCTAAAGCAGTTAAGTACCCGCGCGCGCGCGCGCGCGCGCGCGCGCGCGCGCCGCCCTTAGGGTTGTCAAACGTCGTGTTAACTTTGGGCCTCGTAACAGTTGCACTATTGTTGGCTGAAATCCTCAACGTTGTTCAAGTGTTCTCCCCAGCCCAAGCTGTTACTGTTTGTTACTGTTGTTACTGTTGTTCAGTGGTCAGCAAGCAGAAAATGCCAAAAAACCCGGGTAAAACCCGAAAATGACCTGTGGGTTTTCCCGGGTAGGCATTTTCGGGTATTACCCGCACTGGACACTCTAGAGATCGTCGTGGGTCACTGCCAGGCCTTCCTTATTGTTGTTCAGCCGGCCTAACGTTAGCTACTGTTGTTGGGGAGCCCCACTGTTGTTCTGTTGTTACTGTTAACACTAGCAACACTGTTAAGCTCTCTTAACGTTTGACAACCCTCTATAACGCCCTCTACACGGCTACGCGCTCGGGGGTAGCGGCCTCTCTCTAAGTCTCAACCGAACAAACATGAGAAACAAGCCGCCACTCGCTTGCTTTTTTTATTCCTGTCCCCCCAGCTGTCCTCCGTCCCCCGCGCGGGCCGATATGGCGATAACGGATAAGGGCCGGCGCAGTCCGGAATCGCCAATCTTCAATCTAGCATGGAGCCACGAGACCGAGGTGGGCGTCGCCCGCGGTTGGCGCGGGCAGGGGAGGCCGCTACTCTGTACGCTGGTGGCGGGTGCACACCACTCACCACGCCAGGGGCGGCGAGGATGATAACCTGTAGAATGCTACTCTGTATTCGCTGTCGATCTATCCTGCAGCTGCACCCCCGACGACTGACCACGCCGGCGAGTTGATCCGTTCGTCCCTCCCCCTGGCCTCGGCCAGCTTCGCCGCCACGCTCCCCAGTGTGGCTGATGCCTTGCTCCCTTCTGTGCGGTCGGCGCTGTGACATCTCGAGCCGGGCGATACCAAAGCGAACTGCTTCCGGAGGGCGGCCATGCGAGTTTCTCGCTCCTGGTGCGCCTTCACCTCGCGCTCTGCTGCGAGCCTCTCACCCATGCGCATTTGCGCTTCCGCGCCAGTCAGCAGGGCCCGCCTCTCCGCCTCTCTCTCCGACTCTCGGCGGTCGGCGGCGTGACTCGCATCCCGCAGCACGTCCGCCTTGTCTTCACGCTCGGCCTCGATGACGAGTGCTCTCTCCACCCGCGTCCTCCAGAGGTCCTGCTGCCGCGACTCCTCACGAGCTGCTTCGGCCATCGCCCTGGCCTCGCGCGCCACGTCCTCCATCTCGCGCCTCGCGGCTTGCTCGGCCGCCTTGACAGCTCGCATCCCGGACGCCCGCCGGGGCGCGCCGGACCCCACCGCAGCCATTCGCCGTGCCTGCTCGGCTGCGGCGCGGCGTGCAGCGGAGGCCAGCGCCTCCCTCCTCGACCGCTCCTCCGCTTCACGTCTGGCCTTGAGCTCGGCCCGCGCCCGCGTCTTGTCCTCCCTGGCAAGCCGCGCCCTCTCCTCCTCTGCAGCTCTCTCCCTCTCCTCCGCCTCGCGCTTTGCTCTGGCCCGTGCCCGCTCCGCCGCCAGCCGCGCGCGCATGGCCTCGCGTTCGCGCTCCTCTTGGTCCAAGAGAGCCGCGGCCGCCTCCTTCGCCGCCGCTGCCTGAGCCGCCCGCCGCTTTGCCTCCAAGGCGAGCCTGGCGTCCGCCTCTGCCGCCTAGAGAGGCGCAGCGCGGTCAGGTGTGAAGTGCTTGCGGATAGTCACGGGTGCTAGGCGACGCAGACCTCGGCTACCAGAGTCGCCTCGATGCGCCTCCGACGGTGCCCGCGGGCGCGTTGCGCTCCCTGCAGTCTCCGTAGCGAAGCCTGCAGCCTCACCGCAGCACCGCGTTGCCGCAGAGAGTCACGCCGGCGCCTCTCAGCGTCTACAAGCTCCTTCACCGCCGACGTGCGCACCTGCAGCTTGGCCGCCTTGGACAGCACGGCCTCGACAGCGCGCAAGTCCTCCGATTCGTGGGTCTCTGCCCACCTGGCTGCGATTGACTTGAGCTGCTCCCTCGCCGCTCCCTCCGCCTCCCTCTTGGCCTTCTTGGCCTGCCGCCGAGCCTCCTCGCGAATCAAGCGCGCCCGCTCGCGCAAAAGCCAGGCAAAGTGCTCGCGTGCCTTCCAGCCACGACTACGGCACTGTATGATGTTGGCCGCGAGCGCTTTGCGTCCCTCCGGTGTCGCCTCCCTCCACTGCCGTCGCCGCGCCTCTGCCGCCCCGCGCCGCTCGGCCAGAAGCTTGACGAACTGCGCGGCTCGCCTCGAGAGCGGTGCTACCCACTCGTCGGGTATCGCTCCACTCTCCACGAGCCGCTGGATTTCTCTCTCCACGAGCCGCTGGATTTCTGCGGCGGGCTGCGCCGCATCGAGACGCTCCTCGCCGCTCCACGCAGCCTCGAGCTCTGCCCACTGCCGCTCCCAGCCGTGGGAGTCGGAGCCATCCAGCTCGAGCATCTCGATGGCGCGCTGCTCCGCTGCGTCATGCGAGAGGCCGGAGGCAAGCCCCTCGCGCACGAGGAGCTGTCGCGCCTCCATCATATGTGCGTGCGCGGTGGCGGTTTACCGTTTCAATGAGTGAAGTTTGCCACGCTTTAGGCCTTGTCTTCTTTCTCCAGTGTACGACATTCGGCGGCGGCTTCTCGCCGCCTGCAGTTGCAAAGATCAACTGCCTTGCGCGCAAGGCTCAACGCTCGGGCGTTGACCGCACCGCGTACCCTCCCCACTCCCGCCTCTCATTTGTGTCACACCACGCGGAACGCATCTCCATCGCTTCGGTGAAGGGGGTGAACCGTGCCATCCTCGATCGCCGTGCTAAGCTCGCTTCCGAGCTCTCACGCCGCGCGTAGGGCCCCTAGGGGCCTAGAGAACACAACCCCCTCTCTCTTTTCTCTCCAGTGTATGTAGCTCTTACGTACATTCCCGTAGGAGACTCTGCTGACAGGGTTTGCGATGAGGAGCGACCCGAAGGGTTTCTCAGAGGTTAGTGCACCACTAACCGCCGAAGCGCAAGCGCTGGGAGCAAGAACACTACGACCTGGGTCGGGCTCATACTAGCACCCCACCTCGCGAGCCGACGTTCTGGCTCAGCGAGGCTGCTGCGGAGCACTCGCGGACCGGTTCTTCTGGTCCAGCGAGGCCGCTGCGGGGCACCCGGCGGCTCGGGTCACGTCTCATCGCAAACTCGGTCGAGCAGGAAGGAGGTAAGGTGTGTGCGTGTGGGAGGCGGCGCGGCACTGTAGGAGCGGCGGTACGGCGGCACGGCGGTAACGCACGGCAGGAGGGACGGCGAATAAATGGCAAGGGCGGCGAGGCGCGGAAGGAGCGGCACGGTAAGGAGCGGCGGCACGGCGGCAGACCACGGCAGCGAACGGCGGAGCATTGGGCGGCGGGTCAAACGACTGAGCAGAGGGCTTTCTCAGTTTAGGTTTATTGTTGGCAAATCAAGACACAGAGCTCACACAGAATCACAGCGGGAGGAAAGCGGCGAGTCGCAATTCTTGCGGTCTCTCTCAGTGACCAAGAGTCGGCCGGCGCGAAGCGACGACCGCCGAGCTTTAGGTCGCCGACATCCAGCCGGAGCTGCGAGTCCACACACGGAAGCCTCTTGGGCGAATGCACTGGGACAGTGTTTTCGCAGAGACTACCTCATTTGCTACTCCCCCCAGGAAGGGGGGGTTGTGTGGGAAGCCAAAGGAGGTTTTTGGCTTCCCACATTTGTGATGGGTCGAAATCGGCCCGCCGCATTGATTGTCGAATCGGTGTAACGAATCGAGAGAGAGAGACGCGAGGGCCCAAGAGGCCCTTGGGCTCGCCTGCAGAGCGTCTCTCTCTTGCCATTCTGCTTGTCTGTTTTGTGGCCTCTTCTCTCGTCTGTCGGTGTTTTGTCCCACCCTGAGCATTGTGCTCTTCCCGCCCGGGGTTGTGCTGTCTTCCTCCTCCTCCGCCGTGTGCCGGGGAGTCGTCAGGCAGTTCACTTTGGGGGCTACGGGTATCCCCCCTGGCTATACTTTGAGATTAGGCATCAAAAGTGGTTCACAGTGGAGGCGGTCGCCGCCCTAAGTACCACTAGCACTACCAGTAGCTCTGGGGGGGCCGCAAAGGAACACCTTCTCTCGAAACAGAAAGAAATGTTAAAAAGAATTTTACAACAAAACTCCCTCGCACAACACTGGGCACGGGACTGGTGCGCACTGGCACTAACAAGGTACACAAAAAAGAAAATGCTTCCGTCCGACGCTATACCCCTCCATTCGGAGAAAGGGGGCAGTATGCGGAGCTTCCCTTCTGTCCCTTTTGTCCTCGTGCTGCTGCAACTGGCCCTCGTCACGGCCTTTGAAACGCCGTCCACATGCGGCGCTGTTAGAGACGCCTTCCTGAGCGGCGCCTGCTGCACCGCCTCCGACGACAGCGCTGTGTCGGTCGAGGTCATCGCTGTAAGCGGACCTCCTGCACCCCCCCTGAGCCCGCCTACGCCCGAAGCCCCAACCGCTGGCTTCGCCTCCTGCGCAAATGTCGTGGTTGGTGGAGGCACGGGCGGCCTCTACACGGCCTACCGGATGATTTTCGACGCCGGCATCAACGCCAGCGAGGTCTGCATCTTTGAGGCTGACTCTGAAATGTTCGGCAGAATCAAGTCGCTGAGGGGCCTCGGCGACCAGAAGGATCTCGTCGTCGACGGTGCTCTCTCCTCCTTCTCAGCTCCTCCATATTACCCCTTGGTCGTTCCCACTCATCTGCACGTGTCCCTCTGACACGCCCTACCCGTGCCGCCGCCGCCCTCAAACGCTCCACACCACAGCTGCCCTCTGTAGCCACCGCCCTTACCGTCGACGCCATTCGGATGCATCGCTCTCTCCCTCCCCCCAGCCCCCCGACCCCGCCGCCGCCGCCGCCGCCGCCGCCGCCGCCGCCGCCGCCGCCGCCGCCGCCGCCGCCGCCGCCGTCGCCACCGCCGCCGTTGCAGCCACCCTCGCTGCATCCACGCTGGTCGGCGCGGCCGCCGCCGCGCGCTCGCCGCCGCCACCCGCTTCACCGCCGTTGACGCCCTCGCCGCCGCCACCCGCTTCACCGCCCTTGACAGCCCTCGCCCTTGGCGCCACCGTTTCAGACCCTCCCCGCCGCCCCTCCCGCCCCATTCAGTCGGAGGTTACCGCACTTTCGACACGATCTCGCCGCGGACGCAATTACCTC